AAAAAAATCACCTGCCCATCCATCTACTTACTCACTTTTTTATCAAAGTCACCCATCCATCTAGCCAACTGCTTACCCACCCACTCATCTACCCCAAAACATCACTAATTCATTCATCCAGGTGGTGTTTCTTAGCTGAAACACCACCTACCCATCTCCCCATGCATTCACCTATAATACCACCCAGAATACTTACCCATCTATTCAAAACACTTACTTTATCCATCCACTCCACTCCCATGCCATGTCATGCACCTACCTGTCCACACATCCATAACCTGCCTATCCCACCAGTGCATCATCCACCCTGCCCAAAACGTCACCTGTTTACCTATCTATATACTTATCCCCTGGTCTCCACCCACTCGTCCACCTGCCCATTCCCATTTGTCTTTCCAAATCATCTGTACCAGCCACTCAAAATATGTATTGACCTATTTAGCCACTGACTCATACAACTTTGCTATCCATCTATCCACCTAACCCCAACTTCCTGCCTGTTCCCCCATGAAATCATCCATAACACCCACCAACCACCTGACCACCAACCATCTATGCATCTTCCACAAAACACTCACCCACTTGTTTCATACACGATGTAAGTTCACATACAGGCCTTCCATGCACCCATCACCTACTCTACATGTACTTACGGTCCTTCCAATTTTCTACCAACCCCATCTGTCTGCCACAATCAGTTCACTTCAACTCCCAAAACAAAGCCCATGTCACCCAACCCCGCTGCCAATAACCAACTCCGAATCCACTTATCAGCCTACTTAATCAACTATCCACTTTTCCGTACTGTCAGCTTACCCCAACCTCCCATCATGAATGTCTTCTATGCCCACCCATCCCACCCTCAATTATCCCTCATGCCCCTACCTACCACTCATTCATATTTTTACAATCCATCCTAACTCCATCATTTCACCAATACGGTTGGGCACCACATCGCCTCTATAGCCCCAAACCTTCCCAAGGCTCCTGTTCTGTCTCTCGCCTGATACCCACTAATGTTTACACATACCCTCCTGCCATCCATCCACCCACACCCAGGCCTGATCCTGTGATCTTGGGACACCTCCACCTTGGGCTCTATCTTCCATCTGTTCCCGAAACTTAGGCCTAAGTTCTTTCTTTTTTTTTTTTTAACTCCGGCCTAAGTTCTAAACTGCCTTATTTCCAACCATTTACCTGCCCAAGATTAGATCAAATTCAGGAACTGATACTATTTAGGTGTGTGAGCTGGACATCAGGGAATGGTGACTCCCCCCATCTTGCTCATGGATTAAGGGGTGATAAGGTGTGACAAGTGCCTGTTGCATGGCAAGTGGGGAGGCTCTGAACTGGGGAACCAGTGGAGGGTGAGCCAGAAAGCACATGGAGCCTGGACTGTCACATCTCCATGGGGCAGGCCGCCCAGGCACCCTACCATGCACCAGGTTGATCTCAGAGCCCAGCAAGAGGATCTCATCAGCCAATCGCTGGGCAGTGGGCAGCACCTCCGTGTGGTGGGCGCTGATGAGGTATTGCACGAACTTCTGCAGCTGGTCCCGGTTCATCTGGGAGAGTGTCTCTGAGATGGGCAGCCGTAGCTCCACCTGGCAGGCATGCCGGATGCGGTACAGTGACAGGGCCACCACATGGGCGCAGTAGAAGAGGTCTCGGTTGTCACAGCCACAGCTCACAGATGTGATCTTGCAGCGGTCGAAGCTGATGGAGACGTGGTAGAGGCGCTCGGGCTCCCCAGGGCCCCCTGGCTCCCGGATGCTTCCACTCAAGTGGAACCCTAAGATTGAAGGCAAACCGATGGAGCTGTGCTACCCCAGAGATGGGCACTGTTGTACCAGTGAAACATCATACAAAGCCAGCTGAGTAACCCAGTACAAGTCACTTAACCTCTGTGCCTCAGTTTCCTCACCTGTCAAGTAGGAATAAACAGTAACATCCTCCTCATGTGTTTCTAACGAGTTAATGAGTTAATATATGTCAAATGCTTAGAATGTTGTCGGTATGTAATAAATCCTAAATAAACACAATTATGAATATTATCATCACAGCCAGGTTTTTCTGGGTTACCATGGAATACGGCACTGGCTCCAGGACTCCTGTCATTTCCTGGGAAGCCCAAGTCCCATGACACTTGAGTGAGGGGCTGATGTGACAGGCCCGGGGCTGGGCCCCATCGCCCCCTGCCCCTCCCTGGCCCCTGGGGAACCCAGATGCCAGGCTCATCCGACTGGTTGGGCAGCTCAGGCCCCAGCGGGTCCTGGCTGCGTCATGCGAGGAGACGGCGGCTTCCTCATACCGACTGGAGGTGGCCGGCTGGGCCATGTCCAGGCAAGGAGGCCTCCAGGCTGACAGAGTTCAGCAAGGGTCATCTCGGCCAGGCCTCCAGCTGGGAGACATGACCTACCCCCGAGGGAAGTATGATACTCTGAGTCTCACTTTTCTGGCTGAGCCTCCACTGGTCCCCTCTGAGTCCCAGTGCCTGAGGATGATAACCTTTCCTCCCCTCTCCCTCACTGCCGCCCCCAATCTGGGTTCTGCGCTCCTTCCTTTCTTTCTGGTTCAAACTTTCCCCCAGCTGCTCCTGGACTCCCTCTATCTGAGGGAGCTCTAAACCTCTCTCCCATGTGCTATTGAATCCTGCTGCCCACTAGCTAAAGGTCACCCCTCATGCTGATCCCAAACTTCCACCCTATACTCTCAACGGAGCCCCACTGTCAGCTCTAAAACCATCTTTGAGCACTGGCTCTTTAAGTCTTGTATTAATCTCTACTTGTCTCCCTTTCAGGCCTAAGACCATCTGGCCCCCACAGCTTGAGGTACAGGATCATCTTCACTTCTGCTCTAAATCTCAGTGCCAAAGCGTCACTGGGTCCCCTTTCCTGTGGTCTGGAGCCTCCCTCCTCTTACTTCTGGCTTACAATTGCTCCTTGATGCAGCTCCTTAGACCTGCCCTCTGTCTCGTCTCGCCATCAATTCCCCACCCCTCCAACTAAGCTGTGAAAGGCGTCCACAACCTTTCTCCATTAGCTTAACCCACACCCAACACTGAGCATGTAGTCGGAGGTCTAGAACCTCATTGCACTTTCTTAACCTCTAGCGCCAATCACCAGACGTGAGTAACAACCTCACCTGTCTTCTGCCTATATTTAGGGATCTCTCATCCCCCTTTCTAGTTCACCACCTTCTCGTTGCCCCCCTGCGCCCCATTTGAGTCCACAGCCTGAAGTCTAGGCAGATCCCTAATCTCAAACTGATAGGATCTCATACAACCCTCCCTGAGTACTGATGCCTGAGGTCTGGGAGCTCCCCTCCACTGGCCCAGGTCTCCCCCCAATTCCCCTTCTCCAAGCAGGTTCTAAGCCTCTTGGCCTCCTCAGTAGGGGTGGGGGGCAAGCACTCACCCACTTGCAGGACTCGGTCTACAGCCCCGCTCTGCAGGAGGTGCAGACCACGAGTGAAGGGCACCCGGGCGTCATGCTCGCCCTCTGGGGGCTGGTAGCCCAGCGATGAGTACATACATATCTCCCGTTCACTACGTGGAAACGACCAAAACACAATGCGCTTCTGAACTGGTTCTGGAACCCGGGAGAACCGCTCCTCAACCTAGAGGAAGAGTTGCTGGGTTAGAAATCTGGATTTGAATCCTGGCTTTTCATTTATGAACAGTAAGACCCTGCCAACTCACTTCACTCCAGTTTTCTCAATACAGGAATGTTAACACTATCTGCCTCCTGGTGTAGGTGAAGATTAAATATGCATCCTCATAAACACCTGCCAACAGTTAGCATTCTAGAATTTTCTGTATTCTCCTTCCTGGATGTCAGATCTCAGGGACTGACCAGTTTTCAAGGAGGCAGGAGGAAAGAAGATGAAAGTGGTAATAATGATCAATCTTAGTCCACACTAAACAATATGCTTTAAGTGCAATTTCCCTTAATTCTTACAGCAACAGTCCAATGACACAAATCATGACCCTATTTTACAGCCAGGGGAATCTGAGGCTCTGAGGTAGGGTGACTCTACTTGTTCTGGGTCCCGTAGCTGGTGAGCTCCCACTCCTAAGGCAGGCACAGATTGCTCCAGCTTCCTTTCCAAGCCCCTCTCCTAAGAAGGGCCCCAGGGAAGGGAGGCTGTCTTGCCTGGTCTTCCTGTGGGCTCTGGGCAGTGACCTAAGCTGGTTGAGCCTGTGTTCCAATCCGGGTTTGCTATATACTGCTGGGTGACCCTGGGCAAGTTTCTCAACCCCTCTGTGCCCCAGTTTCCTCAAAGTGGGAACAAGATCAACAACTCCCTAAGGGTTGCTGAGGATTCCACAGCTACTACCAAGCATGAGCTTCCTAGTGCCCAGCCTGGATAGGGCAGGTACATGAGGGCCCTGAGATGGTTTTAGGATTTTTCTGGGTGTCTCATATACAATGAAGAGGTCTGGGTTTCAGAGGGAAGTGGGAGGGCCAGTGACTGGTTCAGGCCTTGGGGACAGTTGGCAGATGACTAAGGAGGGATTTTCCAGGCCATGAATCAGAGCCTGCCCCATCCATACTTGGCTAATACCCATCAGTTCTAGTAGACTGCATAACTACAGAAAGGGGCCAAAGGACAACCCCCCACTTCCCCCCAAGCCAGAGCCCATGGAGGCATCAGAAGGCTTACACAAGTCTAGAACACATTCCCATTTCCTCAGGAGCTCAAATACAGCTGGGAGAGGGGACTTCAGGGCCTGAGTCCTGGGGTATCTTGGCAGAATCTCCAGAATCCCCAGAAGTAGGGTTCCAGGTGCATTTGCCCAACTATGGGGACCTAGGTCCCATTTCTGCTGTCCTACTGCTGCCCTGTGAACAGATGGGGGTGGCTGGGGAGCAGGGGTGGATGCTCTTTGGGATATGGGGGAAGAAGGTCCTGGCAGTTATATAGCCAATCAGGAGAGGCTTAGAACTCCAGGTAGGAGGTGGTCCTAGGAGTACAGTGTGTATGTAAGGAGTTGGGCCTGAAAGAAGGATCTAGAAGAGGAAAGGAAGGGGGTTCCCAAGGGACAAGAGGGTTCTGGAAGTTGAAGGGCAGGAAGGGACTTTAAGAGAACTTAATGTCTTTAGGCTGGGGTTTACAGAAATGGGGTCCTTAAACTGGTGTGAAAAACAGAGATATAGGGGTCAACAAGTGGGGAGTGAATGTCTCCAGGGGCTGAGATCAGGGGTGTTCCAAGCAGGGGCAACTTGTAAAAGTTGGAGAGAGTAGTGAGGATTGAATGGGATGTCCCAATTGGAGTATGAGGAGGAAGTAGGAAAAGAGGGGTACCCAGGGTTGGGAGGGGAACCTGGGAAGGTGAAAAAAGAACAGTCCTGAATTGGGATCTGGTAACCGAGAGCATCCCTGAATCTGGTGGACTACAGGGGAGGGGTGGTGGAGAAGGAATGGGGATGGGTGACGGGGTGAGAAGGGGTGAAAGAGGGGGTGTCTTGGGCAGGGTTAGGGATCTTGGAGAAGATCTCAGGCGCTGTCTCTGAAGAGGGCAGGTCCGGAGAATGGGGGATGGGGAAGGGGAGGAGAAGGGATGTCCGGGAAGGTCAGGGGGTGCGTCACCTCCCTCCGTCCCGCCTCGGTCACCTGTTCGAAGGCCCAGCTCTCGGCTACTCGCTTGGCGCTGAGGTCCAGCAGCGCCTCGGGCCGGCCCCGGCCACGCATGGCCCCGGCCCCGGCATCACGCTCCTCCGGTCCCGCGGGGCAGCCCCGGCTCCGCTTGGCCGCGGGGGGGTCCATCCGGCTGGGCCGGGGCCGGGGCGGGCCCTGTTGAGGGGGTTGGTCCGATGCCCGTTCCGTTTCACCGGCTCCCGCAACCCCGGTCAGCTTTCCAGTCCTTTCTCCGCGATCTGCCGCCACCGGACCCCTGCCGCGCCCACCCCCGCCCCGCGCCGGGTCGGCCGGGTGATGCGGCCCCTTTAAGACTCTTCACAACAATGAAGCTGCCTGGGCTGCCGCTTTATCCTCCGCCGTCGTCCCGCCCCCGCCGCCCTTCCCCATTGGCCCCCCCCTCGGCCTCCGAGGTCCTCCTTCGCCATTGGCTTTACTGCCAGACCCGTCTCCAAACTGTCGTTGATCATTCGTTGGATCTGCTGCCTGTTTTTTCGAGACAGCCCAATCATAGTACTCAGCGAGAGCGGCTGTCAATCATGGGACACCAGAGACCAATCATAGTTGGAGGGCCCCCAGCGATGCAGGCCTTATGCGGAGTTTCGGGGCGGGCCCTGGATTCATTCACAACATTCCTCCCCCACCCCCCTCGGGCTGGACAGCGCGCCCGGGGCAGCTGGGGCTGCGCCCACACACGGCTTTGTTTACTGAGGGTCGCTTCCGGGCGCCGCAAGGGGACAATCAACTCAGCTCAGCCAGGGAGCGAGACAGAGGGGCGGGTTCCTGGGGCTCCGCCCTTCCACCCTCTGGGCTGTGTGACGGTATAAACTATCTAAGGCTCTCTGGGCGAGCGTAGAGTCGAATTTAGATACTTGCCTGGAAGGGGGAATCAGGAGCGATTAGTAACTCTTACGGGAGGTACACACCTCTGATCCAGAAATAGGGTCCAATTCAGATTCATCCTTGAGTCGCACGCTAAGAACCCCCGTTCTATTCTATGTCCTGCATATTACGTGAATAATATAAATTGCTGCTTTTCAACCATTTTTGACTTATTAAAATGGCAGATTAAAGACAACATTTTAAAAGGATAGGATAGGTTTATTAGGAAAAGAAGAGAGAGGCAACTGTGTAGTCGTAGGTGGGTAGGAGAATTGCTAAAATAATCAGTTTCTTAAGCTTCAGCATAATGCATGTACAATCTGATGACCTTTGATTATATTTATCTGACCCAGCTCTCTGGCCTGGAAGCCAGTCAGGAGCTTCATTGCAGTCACTGCTCATCCCCATCCTCCTCTCCAGGTCCTTAGAGAACCCTGCAGCTTCCCCTTCACTACACTCCTGTTTGCATTTCTTTGTTTCAACTTTATATTTCTGTCTCTAACCCCCAGCCAAGCCCGAGTAGTTAGTCTAGCTGGTGCATTGTTCTCCCACCAGCTCCAGAATATACAGGATACAGCAGTCACTCAGTCTATGACTTGCTGACTGAACCAACTCATGCTTGGCCCAGATTCCACTGAAATGATCTAGAACTGGAGGAACCCAAGCTGGCCCCCAAGGGGCTTGAGTCTGCCCCTACCACCTGTATGGAAATGCTAGTGCTTTTTCCTTTTAGTAACTTCCAGTTTCACAGCTGCACTTTCAGGCCAATCCCCAAGCCACCAGTCTAACTCTAGCCATCAAACTTCTAACATGCTCTGTCCAGTGTGATCACCACTGGTCATTAGTGGCCTTTCAATCCCAATGGGGACTGCCTGAATTGGGCTGTGTTGTAATGTAAAACATAAAGTAGGTTCTGGCAATTTAGTAGGAAAAATGAGGGCAATTTATCTCATTCAGAATTTTTATTGATGTGGTATTATTTGAGAGAAATTTGGGTTAAGTAAATACACTGTTAAAATTAATTTCACCTATATTTTTATTATGTGATACCAGGACATTTAAAATTACAAACGCAGTTCCCATTTGTAATTTCTGATTGACGGTGGTCCTGAGAAAGCACGGTCAGCTATACAATGACAACAACAAAGGATAATAATGACTGCTTATGTGATGCTCCAGGTGATCATATACGTGGTATATGATGGAGGTGAGTTAAACTGAAAAGTGTGAGTTTCACTTCCATTTCTAAGACAAAGAGACTGAGGCCTTGAAAGGGAATCCTTGCCTGAAGAAGTCAGGTGGACTGCTCTGGGGTTCAAGACTCATTGCTGCTTCTCTTTCTTGCAAAATTTTTGAGGCAAAGGTAGATGGAAGGAGTATAAATAATGGGTTAGGGGAAAAGGTAGGGAGGACTTCAGCTAACCCTGTTTCAGGAGCTCCCCTGGCAAACAAAAACCCAGGGCTTTTCCCAGCAGCACCTTCAGCATCTGGTGTGTAGCTATGTCAGCTAAGCCAGGTTCCTGAGGAGGAGTGGGCATCCCATATTGAGATATTGACTCAAGGTCACTTCAGGATTCAGCTTGTTGACTTTAGGAGGAATAGAAAAAGGGTCATCACAAGGTGAGGATGTTTCATTTTATTCTTTTTTTTTTTTAATTTTTTTTAAAGATTTATTTATTTGTTCATACAGAACTGGGGTACAGGCCAGAGGCTCAGGGGCGGTGAGAGGCTTCACCAGAGACAGAGTGGGGAGCAGAACAGGCAGATCGACGAAGTACACTGCTGAGGGGAGCAGCAGGCGGGTCAGGAGAGGTCTGGCTCGCCATGTGGTCTCCTCCAGGGCAGGCGGCAGGCGGGAATCGAACTCATACGGAAGTGGCTTCAGATTCTCAGTGCTGTGCTTTAACCCGCTGCACCACCAGGGAGGGCCATTTTATTCTTTTTTTTATAGATTTATTTATGCATACAAAAACTGCAGTATAGGGCAGAGGGAGGCATTGGTGGATTCACCAGAGACCGAGTGGGGAGTAGAACAGGCAGATCTGAGATACACTGGGAGCAGTGGGCAAGACAGGAGAGGTCTGCTTCAACATGTGGGTCAGCTCCCTGACTGGGGATGGAACTTGTGCTGCAGTGGCTGCAAATAGCTTTATAGTGCTGTCTTAACCCCTTGTTATACCATGAAGATCCTCATTTTGTTCTTTAACATAGTTAAAAATATCATCACCACCCCAATCTCATAGATGAGAAAACCTGGGCACAGAAAGGCCAAGTAGCTTAGCCAGGTTCCATAGCTGGAAGTGCTTAGTCATTTCTGGGCTCAGCCATCCCAGTCCCCATCACACCAATCTTCCAGAATGCTATTGCTGGCCTCAAAGGAATGTACAGAGGCAAAAACTGCTCAAAACTGTTATTGTTGGCCTTTTGTTTGGATAACATGCTTCAGATATTCAGTGGTGGGAAGACACCATCTTGGCTGCTTTTTTTTTTTTTTAAAGGTTTACTTATTTATTCATATGGAAGTGGGGTACAGGCCAGAGATGTAGAGGGTGAGAGGATTCACCAGAGACAGAGAGGGGAGCAGAACAGGCAGATCGCCAAAGTACACTGCTGAGGGGATCAGCGGGCAGGTCAGGAGAGGTCTCCTCACCATGTGGAGCTCCTCTGGGGCAGGCGGGAATCGAACTCATGCAGAAGTGGCTTTAGCTTCTTAGTGCTGTGCTTGCTGTGCTTTAACCTGCTGCGCCACCAGGGAGAGCCTTGGCTGCCTTTTTGTTTAGAACTTCTGAACACTGTGGACTCTAGGGTGAGATAACTGGCCACTTGTGGCCTCAGTGACTTTTTGTTAAATAAATCCCATTATTATTCCCTGAACGTGAATGGTCTTACAATTATGCGTGAAGAGCTCAGACAATGCCCAGTACACTATCTGGCTGTGCCTTGGCAGTTTTAATACCCCTTATTGCCTGGTAACAGTATAGCACACAGTAGAATATCACTCAACGATTAATAAATACAACAAATTGGGCCCCCCCTGGTGGCAAAACGGGTTAAAGCACAGCACTATGAAGCTATTTGTAGTTACTGCAGCTCAAGTTCAATCCTCTGCCAGGGAGGTGATCCACGTGAGAGCCAGCAGACCTCTCCTGTCTCTCCTGCTGCTCACCTCAGCAGTGTATTTCAGTGGAACTACCTGTTCTGCTCCCCACTCTGTCTCTGGTGAATTCTCTCACCCCTCCACACCCCCCACATCTGGCCTATATCCCAGTTCTGTATGCATAAATAAATCTTAAAAAAAAAAAAACACAGCAAATTGACAAATCTCAGAAACATTTTGTTGAGCAAAACAATCCAGACATAAAAGTAAATCACGATTCTCTTTATATAAAACTCAAGAACAGAAAAATGAATCTATAATGATAGAAAAATCCACATTGTGGTTGACGGAACTTAAGGAGGGGTGTGGATGACTTGAGGACACAAAACTTTCTGGATCTTGCAAATATCTTGTATCTTCACTGGGCAATAGTCTCTTGGGCGACAATTGTCAAAAATCATTGATCTCTTCAATTATCAATTTTACCTCAGTATAGGTGGGGGGTAGGTTGGCAAATTTTAATACAACAAAGAATAAAATAAACGACAAAACACCCGGGCCTTGGCTTTGTGTTCTAAACCTGCATCTCAGTGTCTGATTCAGGACAAGACTCTTCAGCAAATGAGAACCGATGCTTAAGACCACTTCTCATTCACTCCCTGAGCGTCCCTTTCTGCATTGCCGTTGCAAACCATCTTTTCCTTGCCAGAGTCATTCCCACAGTCCTTTCAGAGCCCTTCCTTTAGGGGGTCCGGGGGGACTGCGGGCTGATGCCCACTCCCAAGCCCAGAGTTCGGAACCCAACGTAGAGGCCACATTCCATAACGGCAAGACGCTAGCCACAGGCCAGTCGCCTGGCTTCGCCGCCAGTACTAAACATGAAGCCGCCCGCCCAAGGCAAAACCCAGGTCACGTGACGGCGTGCCGGGCTCAGCCCACTCCCGCGCCTACTTTTAGACTGACCAATGAACCCGCGCCATGGGCACGCCCTCTTTCCTTTTTCCACCAATAGTTTCTCAACGCTTCCCGCAAGTTCCAATCACCGCTTCCTTCTCTCTTGAATGAAAAGCCAGAGATCCAGTGAGGGGGTTACAGTCGGACGCCGGAGGCAGGAAGCTCGGTAGCTCGAGTGGGGGCGCGAGACCAATACCCGAGTCGAGCGGCTCTCCTCGAAGCACGCGGAGGCGAACGGGAACCAGGTAGGCGGCGGGGCTGCGGCGCGGGTCCGCAGTGCGGCCTTGGGTCTGCGGACGATGTTGCGGGGAGACGCCGAGGGTTAAGGAGAGCTGAGGGGGGCGGGGTGGCTGGGGTGTCCCGCGCGTGCGGCGGTGGCCGTTGGAGGTCGGGGCGCATGCGCGAGGGGCTGGCCGGCCGTTGGCGCGCGGGCGCGTGGCCCGCTTCCGGGAGGGGCTGTCATGGCGGCCCCCGGCCAAGCAGAGTTCGGGGGAGGTTTCTTCCTGTCGGCGAAGAAGCTGAACCCGTGGGGGGCCTTTGGCGCATGGCGGGTGGAGTGGCTGAGCTCGGAGGGCGAAGGCTAGGTCTGACTAGTTTGTCGGAGAAACCAGGGTTGCAGACGGGTTGGGCTGCTCGGAAAGGAGCCCCCCCACCTCAGTCTCTCTGCTCTGCGTTTAGACGTTCTGGGTATCTGCGATTTGGGGCAAGACAGATCGTCTTTGGAAATAGTCCAGTAGGGAACAAAATTCGAATTCGGAATTCTCCCCGGGGCATTTGAGTGTCACTGAGTAGCGTTGGTGCTTTCCAGGTTCACGCTTCTTGGCTTGGGCCGGCAACAGCCACCCCTTCAGAAAGGAACAAAGCCCGCCAAATCCGCTCTTGACCTAATTGTCTAGCTTTAGATCCTATCCCGTCTGGCCACTTACAAAATGTTGTGCCCCAAAATCTGTCCCCAAGTCTCTTCATGAAACAAAGAGACGGGGATTGACCTTATTTCTTTTATGTTCACCTTTGCAGTCACCGAGATTTGAAGCCCTGAGCAGATGACACAGAATACCCAGAAAAGATGGTCCCACCCTATGGTGGTCCACCTTCTTCTCTATTTAATGCCTCCACCCTAGTTAATCTTAATCCTCTTTTTTTTTTTAAGTGAATGTCTTCTACCCACCCACCATCATATTACAGTAGTTATTATTTCTTGGGCAAATCCTCGTTGAGTCACTCAACTAGAATAAATAGCCACAGGTTCTTGGCTGCTTAGCAAATAAAGTGAAAACTCTAGATCTAACCAGCCTTCACCTGAACCAGCCAGATGCTCTCTCCGGCCTCCAAAAGGATGCTTTTTTGGGCTCACTTCTAGCTTCTTGTTCTCCTTGCTGGCTGGGAAAGCGCCCCTTCTCTTTTTTTGCCAGTCATATTTATCATGACTCATGCTGGATGGCCCTTTTCATAATTTGATGAGCATGAAAGCTGGCTTTAGCCCCCAAATTCTGTCATAAGGCCTTGATTCTAGTTCATTCATTCAATCATTACTAGCTTAAGTAATGTATGCCAGCTCCTGTGCTGGGTGCTGGGTTGGGCAAGGGATTGACATGACTGGAGGGGATGCTGGCAGCAAATTCCCTTCTAAAGCAATATGAGACAGGAGGTTTGTGATGGTCCAGGCTCAGGAATAGCAAGTACAATGGTGCTGAGGTGTGTTAGTTGTGTGCAGTTAATGAGGGGTATGGGAGAGTTGAGGGCTGAGCACAGAGGGGCTCAGGTTCTGTACGTCCTGGTAAGCCATAGTGAGGACTCTTATTCTGAGCAGAGTGTAGAGGTTCTCTTTGGCTGCCATGGAGAGTGGACAAAGTAGAGTGGGGGGTTGGAAAATAGGGATGTGGGGGGTTGGAAAATAGGTATTGGTGAGATTATTGGCATTACCCAGGGAAGAGATGATGGCACCCAACATGCCCATTACCTAACTGGTAGCTTAACACAGGAATATATTCAGAAAAATGTGTTTTTGTGGAGATTCTTTCCTTATGTAGACATCATAGAATGTAATTAAACTAAAGTGGTATATTCTTACTACATATCTAGGCTATATGGTAGAACCTGTGAGCATCATGTTTGACTGAAACATCAAATGTTGCATGGCTGTACTGGTACAAGAGAATATTAATCAGCCATGAAATGTGGTTAAGTACTGATACACTGCAAAGTCGGTGAACATTGAAAATATGATATCAGTGAAAGAATCCAGTCACAGTCAGAGTGTATGCTTCCAATAATAAAATAATGCCCAAATCGGCAAATCTGCTGGAGAAGGCACTGCTACCTTCCTCAGGCCCAGGGTACCTCCTTGCAGACCCTGTGGGTCTCCATCCCCACTCATGCCCCCCATTTTACCCTCTTGGAAAGGGAGGGGGCAAGAAAGAACGGTGGCTATTCTTGAGACCAGACTCACCTGTTGGGCCCCTCTGGTGGATTGCCCCAGTTTTGGTTGCCAGAGAGGTGGGCAGTACTGGCCAGCCCAGGGTGAGCACAGGAGGGTTCTCCCCCAACCCTGCATCCTTATCCTTCCACCCCCACACATGCCACCCACCCCAGGAAAAACAACAGGCAAATCCACAGAACAGAAAGTAGATTCGTGCTTGGGGGAGGGGGTAGGCTGATTCATTAAAAGTATAGCATCTTGAGGTGATGAAATGTCCTAAAACTGACAACAATCGCACATGCCTGTGATTACACTGAAAACCACTGAACTATAATTTTAAGTGGTGAATATCTCGATGAAACAATTCTAACTTAACAAAAAAAGCCGATGGCAGCTGGGGCCCACCAAGGAGCAAGAGTGAGAAGTTGCCTGATTGACCTAGAGGTATGTTGATTGATTGGACAGAGAGGGTAGAGAGAAAGGCCACCCTTGAGAGAAAGGGACCCCCTTTTCTGAGATGGGTAAAACAGGCCTTTGTGGAAAAACAGGTTCTGTTCTTGGTGGTGGTTTGAATTCAACATTTAAAAGGGAGCTGTAGAAGAGATAACTAGCTGGGTAACTGCTCTGGAGTCGAGGAGAGAGGTTACTGAGAGACAGTTTGAGAGGCATACACATGGATGTGGTGACAGCTTTGGGGCCAGATGAAGCCAAGAGAGATCACTGACAGCGGGGTCAGAAGCAGCCTCCATTCAGCTCAGGAAGAAGCAGATTGCTGCAGTACTTCTACCCTGAGCTGGAGGCTGGGTGGGGAGGGAGGAAAATGACTCTTCTCAAGTTTGGGTCCCCTGTAACATGGCTTGCACCCAGAAGATGTACTGTGTATGTTGGGTTAAATAAGCCCTGGAGGTAAGCTGAGCTTTGTATTCATTTACCATCTCAGCTTTATTTTTACTGGCCCAGGCCCAAAGGGATGCCTTTTCATAAGAGCACTTAATTATTCCCTTGTGCAGACCACAAATAGCGGAGGAGCAGCAGGGTGGAGCACACCCTGCTCTCGCAAACAGGCTCCCTAGCAGCTCCAGCTCTAGGTCTCAGGGGTCCTTGCTCCATGCAGACCAGGTGGGTTCCTTGGGGAGTGACAAGGAGGAGGCTCCTTTACTAGGGTGGTCTGAGGCAATTCATTGGCCATGAAAGAAGCATTGGTGCCAAGAGCCAGGCACAGCCAGATCCTGATGGTGGCAGTGGGGCACCAAAACTAAGGGTACAGCTTGCGGAGTCTGGCCCAGCCAGGCTGAAGGTGGTGTGGAGTGACAATAGACAGTGACCACTAGAGAGGCCTGGGAGGGCTGTGGGGGGAATTGAAGATTGAGCTTTCATTTGGGCTGGGGGTCAAGAAGGGTGTACCTTTCTGTAGGGAGAGGGAGACAGAGGGGGTGTGGTATAGAGGAAGGTGAGGAGCTGTGGTCACCACAGGCTGAAGCTGGGAGGTGCTGCTCAGTAGAGCTGGGACCTGCTGCAGATCCATCTGCTGTGAGTGGAGCTGGGACTTGCTGCAGACCCATCTGCTATGAGTGGGTTCTCATTTCTGCACTTGTCCCCTTGATCCTGCACTCCCTTCCCAGCACCATGGCAGAACAGGATGTGGAGAATGAGCTTCTGGACTATGAGGAAGATGAAGAGCCCCAGGCGCCTGCAGAGAGCACTCCAGCTCCCCCTAAGAAAGATGTCAAGGGTTCCTACGTCTCCATCCACAGCTCAGGCTTCCGGGACTTTCTGCTGAAGCCGGAGCTCCTGAGGGCCATAGTGGACTGTGGCTTTGAGCACCCATCAGAGGGTATGTATCCTGGCTCCCTTGTGCTAAGCTTTTTTCCTTGCCCTTGTGTGTGTGTGTGTCAGCATCTATGTGAAGCCTGCAGGAGGGAGCGTTGGTTTTTAACCACTTTTACCCTATTATTCTCAGTGCAGCACGAGTGCATTCCTCAGGCCATTCTGGGCATGGATGTCTTGTGCCAGGCCAAGTCAGGGATGGGCAAGACGGCAGTCTTTGTGCTGGCCACCCTGCAGCAGATCGAGCCTGTCAACGGACAGGTAGGTGGGTGGACAGGTTAAAAGCTCTTTTTGTGTGCCCTTTGACATTACATAATTACTAAGTGACAAAACCTGAAAACACCCCTACATCAAGAGATAAAAGTGAAAAGTACCCTCAGTTTTACCATCTAGGGACATGGCTTTTAGTTCAGTGTGTACGTTTGTGAAGGGAGATTCCAGCAGCAAGGCTGCTGCTAACGGTGCTGGCAGGCGAAGCTGCCTGCTCATGTCGTAAGGGTATGTTCCGCTGTGCTGAGGACTAATTTAGGCGAATTCCAGTGTTTTGCTTTTTTCAGGCACACATCCTTGAGGGTATGTAAGCCCTCATTGCCTTAAGGTGGTTGGTGAGGACAGGTACCCTGTGTGTGGGGCGGAGTTTATAGGAAGGGAACAGTGTGTAGTTGCTGTGTTTGGTATTGGGGAAGAAGGCATGGCAGCTATCCCCAGCGGTCAGTCAGCCAGAGGAAACCTCCAGTATGTTGATGGCACCGTCTAGGCGGGACAGAACCAATCGTCTTGAGAGGAGGCAGGACTGTGGAGGTAGAGGCATTTAGACTGAACCTTGGCATGATTCAAACTTGGAAAGGCAGGGCCTGGCGGGCAGGGGGCCAGCTATTGTGGGGAGGAATAATGACACTGCCTTGAGTGTGTCTCACTGACCCACCTCCCAGGTAACAGTCTTGGTGATGTGCCACACACGGGAGCTAGCCTTTCAGATCAGCAAGGAATATGAGCGCTTCTCCAAGTACATGCCTAGTGTCAAGGTGAGTGCCCTCTGGCCAGCCAGTCACCACGTGGTCTTCTGCAGTTTTGCTGGGCTCA